CACTACAAAAATTATTCGAAGATTATTGCGCTTCATGGAAACTAAATACATTATCGCTTTGTTCAGCGCACCAACTTTTAGAAGTCTTTTGGAAGATCTTTATATTCCAACCCCAGACCCCAGCCGTTCCATCAAGGGGGCTTTGTTTTGTGTTAAGTCTCTTGCCTAATAGTATCTGTCTATAGAAATACCAGTTTGTATTCCTCCTAACCTCGTTTCTGAACTTTGCTTGTGATGTAATTGACGATGGTGTGCTTAGCACCCTCCTACCAATGTATCTCTACTTGTGTGTAGTATTACGTCGAGAACGTTTCTGAAGGTGAGTCTGGACTACTTTGTAAAGTAAAATTGAGTATTGGCTCGCTTCACTTCGCCGACATCAATCGCAGGTGTCCCAAATCGTACGATGGGCATTAGTATCAGCGCTCACCACCTCGCAACAGTGTGTCTTATATAAGGACGCAAGTCTTCTGTGGAAAGACTGAAGTCGATACGGGAATATAGATTTTTCTTCACCAATACCGTTATTTACCCTTAGGGTGTGTGTTTTCCGTTTCACCTTTCTCTAAAGTGCTTTTGTTTGCCATCCACAGGGTGCCGCTTCTTGAGACGAAGAACACGCTTACTACAACTCGCCATCTTCGGAATACACGCAACTCTTCTGTGGAAAGACTGAAGTCAATATGCAAATATAGATTTTTCTTTATAGAATATGGATTTTTCTTTACCAAATATTAACTTCTCTTCCAGAGAATAGTGAGAAAGGTCGTCAAAACCGTAGGCTCCTAACTAAATAGCCGAGTTAGAGGTGATGTATTCTCTGCCAAACTGTAAACCAAAACACTTTAGTGTCCTCCAATCGGAGATCACAGCGATTAAAGAAAGCCTTGTTGTTCGGACAAGGAGAGTGCGCCTAATAGGAATAAATGGATATATACAAATAGCCAAGCGACTTAAAATTTTTTTTTTTTTTTTATTTTATTTTATTTTATTAAAGCTTACATAATAAACAAATTATTAAATAAACTAAAGTACGCAGCGCTAGCATCAAAGGCTTCCGGCTGAGACTTTAAAATTACTAAAGCATATTTCATGATAATCCTGAAATGGATCCATGACAAGGCACCCTTCTATTAGATTTGGAAAAAGAGGAAAGTCATATGTTTCTGGCTACTAGTAGATTTTATTCCAGATGGAAACAATCTCTGACTTGTTCATCCAGCAAGTAAACGTGGCATGAGTGGAATATCGGCCGCACACGCCGACTATTAAAACTCAAATAGAAGGACGAAAGAACTCTAGTAGAAGTCTTAACTGTTCACGATATAATTGGCAGGCATGCCAGCAGGAACACCATACACCATATGAGTATTGCTAAGTTGTCAGGATTTAGAAAAACAGAAAACTATAAACCTCTATGCGAATGTAAAGCTCTTTAGAGGAAAATAATTTATTGACAACATTTCGAATGTTTCACAATGCGCCTCAGAAGGCCTAGGTGCGTCGTCAAATAGCCGCTCTACCAACCTTTCTACTCAAATAAATCTTTCTCTTGGTCATAGCAATAAGTCGTGGTCCGTAAGCTATGTGTCCCACAATTAGTCCAAAACCAATAACCGAAAATGTTGCAGGGCCATTCATTGATAGAAAGCTTGTTATGACTCGTGTGAGGTCATTAAATATTGTATAGCAATTGGCCGCGTTCTATCACCTGTAATGTCGTAATAATACCTAGTAATTGGTACGGTTAATTTTCTGAACTTTTTAAGCTAGTCGAAAACCATACAAAAAGCCACTGGATGAAGAAAGATTGCATTTGAAGATATAATATGTCTATAAACCAGCCGTTAAGCTGTTTCTAAAAAGATCATTCTTCGATGACATTACTAAGTTTCTCGCTCTAGGCCACCGTCCGGCGCCTAAAATTATTTAACTACATTTTCATTATTCATTTCATATTTTAAATGAACTCAGACTCAAAAGAACTTAAGCCAACTCAGCTGATTCTATATGATAATACAATAAATTCATTACTGAGAGTGACAGTCTAATAATATACTGCATTCGGTTTTCATCTTCGCCTATTCAGGACAACAAAAGGGAAAATCTCGACAATTTTTGGATACGCCTCCAAGCTTCTTACGACGCAATAGTAGAATCTGATGACTCAGATCTACCAGAAAATTTTAAGGTCTCGGCCTACGCCAAGTATGAAAACTGCTTAGATCAGTTCGAAGATACAAAAACAATGATATCTGAGCAGTTAAAGTTAATTAAAACAATTACACCCACTCCATCTCCGAGAGTACAGCTGCCAAAAATTCAAAATCAAGAGACAAGTTCGGGTATCCACCTCAAGGTGTACGCATGTGACACTGAAATTTTCCATAGTGGTTATGAACAATGGCCGTCCTTCCGGGACATATTAACAGCTGTTTACATAAACCATCCGAAATTATCAATTGCTCAAAAATTGTATCACCGCCGATACAAGACAAAAGGTCAAGCAGGCGTTATAGTACAACAGTTCGCTCTTAATGACGATAATTTATATTTGGCTTGAGAAGCTCTGAAATCAAGGTATGAAAAGCAACGAATACTGGTAGATCAGCAAATAACGATATTAATGAACTTGCCCAAAATTCAAAAAGAAACAAGTGAAGAATACCAGAAAAATCGTTATTGCCATGGGAGTAATCTGTTTCATCAAGGAAAAAATGCCCCACTTGGCAGCAAATGAAAGATTTCCTAACCACCCAGTATGAAACCGCAGAAAGGGTTGATAAAAAGGAAATTAAACCAAAAGGTATTTCCAATGACCTTAATAGAAGCTTCCAAAGACCCCAAGCCAGTAGCAATAAGATTTAAATTTAGCTTCTTCAAAAATCAAACGTTCACATTTGAACAGTACAAATCAACGTCATGCGAACTATACACAGGAAGGAATAAACTTAAATCTTGCGAGAAATTCAAGAAATTAAATATAATAGACCGAAAACATTTTGTAAAGTCAAAAAGACTTTGCACAAACTGCTTAAGCATGCACACATGCTTAAAGACTGTGAAAGCAAATTTAATTGCGTTTATTGCCATACAGGACATCATTCGATGTTATATATTACCAATTTTTCCAGCTTACCCCCAAACAGAGCAAACGTAAAAAGAGAAACAGGTTTAGTAGTAACAACAAATTCAGAAAACTGCCAAGAAGCACCATGCTGCTCAAAGGTGTTAAAAACCCAAGCGATAACCACACTAGGGTATTACTACCCACAGCAGTCGTATGAATCGAACACCGACTAGAACTGTTTACACTCAGGGCCTTACTACACCAAGGATCACAACGATCATTTATAGCATCTAGGGCACAAAATAGACTACAACTGCCTACAAAATTAGCCAACTTTGAAAAATTTTCAAAACTCCAATAAAATCTGCCCCATTACCCTAATTTCCCCCAAGGGGATAAGCGCATTCAAGCAGATAGAATAGTCTTACCGCAACTCACGAACATGCTTCCAAGCTATCACATAAATAGAAAGCATTGGCAAAAGGTTTCACACCTCAAGTTAGCAGACCCCAACTGCAACACTCCTGCTCAAATAGACATTTTATTATGCAGCTATCTAATACCACAAATTATTCTCGAAGGTATTGAGAAAATTAAAAAAACACTTCTGGCGCAAAATACCATTTTCGGATGGGTCCTAAGTGGACTAGTTGCGGAACCAGTCACAACATTGTTAACTCATGTTGAGGAAATCTCAAACGAGTACCACAGTACACAACTGAAGAAATTTTGGGAAGTAGAAGAACTCTCCGTCATATCAATTACAACCCCAGAGGATCGATACTATGAGGACTTTTACAAATCCACTACTACTCGATTAGACAATGGCCAGTACGTCGTACGACTACCATGAAAGCCAGAATTCCCTCTCAAAATCGCTTTAGGTCATTCCCGCACCTCTGCTATCCAACAGTTTTTAAGTATGGAAAAAAACCTACTTAAAAAAGGCGAGTTAAAACCAGAATACAATAGGGTTTTTGAAGTGATAATTCGGGTGGTGAAGCACGGTGCTCGCTCGTTCCGTAGTTGTGGTTGGCCGTGGGGAAACGATCGGCGCAAATGATTCCACAAATGTAAAATAAGAACAAAAGGTTTCTTATAATAAATATATTTTACAAATAACAAATTGGACAAACACTTACCACGTCTGGATCTGTGAGCGTTCACAAAAGAAGAGAGCGCGCAACTTTTTTAGTTATTATTTAGTTGCGCGCGAATTAAAACTTCGAAAAAGAGGAAAAGAAAATATTGTTCCTGCCGATGCAGACGTGGCAAAAGAAATTGGGCGGGGGCGGCGTCAACATTCTCCCCGCCTTGCAGTATTACTGCAAATGCAGTTTACAATAGATTACTTAAAACTAACTTAACTAACTGGCTCCTGCACTTCCTCTTCCACGTCTTTTTTGCAGATGAGGTGGCCGACGAGACGAATCGAGTCAAGTTCGGTCCGGGAAATACCGCTGAGATGAATCGAATCTCAGTCGGTCATTGCCAAGGAGCCAATTTGCATAGAAGTCACCACCTTCCAAGGCTGGCGAGACGACTCGAGTCTAACTCGATCCTAGGTAGGTGGTGAATGTGAGATGCGTTTGCAGCCAGTGCACTTTATTGTGCCGATGTTGTAGGACGCCGGATATTATATATCCCAGCGACGTATTTTGGGTGATGAGTTGACCCCCTCTCCTTGATAATACGGCGTGCACCTGCTTGACGATGAACATCTCGTCCACGCCTTCGCTTCGGATGGGGTGGCCGATGAGACGAATCGAGTCTGATTCGGTCCGGACAATTTCGCTGAGACGAATAGAGTCTCAGTCGATCGCTGCCATGCCGCCAATCCGAAAGGAAGTTGCCGTCACGCCGAAGTCGGCGAGACGACTCGAGTTTGGCGCGATCTTAGGCGTGTGGTATGCGAGAAAGGCATCGTTGGTCAGAGCTTTGCCTTTATGGTCGAACTGTTGCTGCTGCTGCTGTTGCTGTCGTTGGCCACCACAGCCAATGTGGAAGAGCCGTTTGAGGTGGCTGTTTCGTTCAAAATGTTAGCCAAATGATGTGAAGGTGTTGATGTCGGTGTTGGGGGCTGTTGTGGTAGCTGATGCAGCTGATGTTGCTGGATTTGCAGCGGTTGATGCTGAAGTTGTTGTTGTTGCGCTGTCACCGTTGGGCTGGACGCCATGGGTGACGACATGTGCGCTGGAGACATAGGCGGCTGCGTTATCGGCAGCTGTGCTTCACGCTGCGTTGACTGCTGCCGTTGTTGTTGTTGATGCTGTTTTGGTAATGGCTGTTGCTGCGGCTGTGTCTGCGACTGAGGTTGCGACTGTGACTGAATCGCTGTCTGCGTCTGTGTTAGGATCTGGGTAGGCGTTGATGTCGGCGGTGGCTGTGACTCCAATTGTGAAATCTGTTGTTTTTGTAGTCTTGGTTGGAAAATAGCTAGTGCATCTTGTGTCGCCGTTAACATTGCAGCAAACGGATCGCCTAGCAAGTGGTGGTTGTACTTCTGTTGATATGGTTGATGCATTTGTTGTTGAGGCGTTGTTGGATGATGTGGTTATAATTGTGGGTGATGTCTTTTCGACTGCTATTGCCGCATAGTCTGTTGATCGGGCGATTGTTGTGTCTTTGCCATTTATTTTCGCTTCTTCGGAGGGAACAGAACGTGTTAAGATCCAACCAAACACTGTACGTTGTGCAAAAAGTGATCCGAAAATTTTCGATTTTACCCCATCAGAATGATTTTCGGGTAAAGACCCGCTCAATCAACAAGTCAACCTTTTGATTCGTATAGAAGTTATTATCCGCTAAGGGGATATTAGGTAACCTTTTTAAAATTGAGGAGTTAATTGACCTGGATGGAAGCAGTCCAGTCAATTTTGGCATTACCAACACTTCCGCTCTAGTCTTAAACTTTTGTTGCGGGGCGAGCCAATTGCAATCGAGTATACCGATTGAACTCGTCCTGATACGGTATTATTCAATCCTGAACTCGCGCGATGACCGTTTTCCTTGCCGTTTTTGCAAACTATTGCTTAAGAAGGTGGCTTCAGACCCCAAATCAATCAGGGCTCTGACAGTGAAGGCGCTCTTGTTGTGATATACGGTCACCATGGCTGTACCTAAGAGCATGCTTCAACTGGTAGGCACATTTGAAATATTGGTCTTAATAGAGGCCACATGAGATTTAGTAGAAATCTTAGTAGTGTGTGTGCTGTCAGATATCTGAGCTATTCCCTCACTCTGATCCCGATGAATCATAGAGTGATGTCTCTGTTTACATTTGCAACAATTAAACATACTTTTACAATTTTTAACTTCATGTGAGTCTGATAACCAGTCTAGGCAGACGTGAAGTTTTCTGACAGCATTTAACCATGCGTTAGGCTCCATCTCAATGAATCTCTGACAAGTTTTCAAAATGTGCGATTGAGATGAGCACAGTTTACATTTGATATTGTTTGTCTTGGCGTGATGGGAGTTGATGGGTTTGGATCCAGTCCTTGACTGCAAGATTGGTATCCGACCCTCACCATCAGCCGACTCAATATTAGGTTGAGTACTCAACTCGCCTTTGAGGTTTGATACTCTCTCAAGCGTTTTAACCCGTTTGGTTAGAAAYTTGTCTAACTCAACCCATTTTGGCATCTCTGAATCCGAATCCAGAGATTGTTCCCAAAGCGACAGTGTATAGTCCGGTAGTCGGATAGAACAYAAATACGTGAATATGGYATCCYAGCTATCTACATTGATGCCATGTATTTGTAAAGCTGAAATACAGCTATTAATATCCCGCTGTAAATTTCTGAGTTCGGTCTCAGATTCTGTGAGGAAGCTTGAACAATAAATTTAGTTGTGTGTTGACAAGCACTCGCTTGTTTTCGTATCTAGTCAGCAAATTATTCCAAGCCAATGCGAATCCGTCATTCRTCAGTGGCGCTTTYGAAACAATAGCTTTTGCTTCACCTCGCGTTTTTTGATTCAAATGGAATAACTTTTCTACCGCAGATAGCCTTGGGCTATTCCCATATATAGCGGCAAATAAATCCCTAAATGAGGGCCATTGTAAAACATCGCCATGAAATATCTCAGTATCACATGGCGGTAAATTGATASAATACCTCACGGGTTCTACAGTTTGTTGTAACCGTTCAGGTTGAATCACTATAGAATTTGAAGTTGGGCTTTGGTTGAACGCCGTGAGGTTGTACATGTGTTCGCCCATCAAAGCCGCGCAACACACATAAGCGTGGTAACAGCTTGAATATTTATGCTTAATGTCGCCTATTGAGCTTGTGTCGGAAGGATCATCTTTTGGCAAACACAACTTGAATTCTTACTTTACCTCTTCCCACAGAGATTTCAGTTCAGTTTGTTGTACTTCAAGAGAGTATGCACTTTGGTTGTTTGCTGTTGGAGTAAAAGATTCCTCAAACTCCAGTAGAGCGTCTGCAGCTGTGATAAATGCTCTGATGCATTCCATTGTTTTGGTAATTGAACCGGAACTGCAAAAATGTTCCACAAAATCGGATCTAAAACTTGAAATTAAAATTTAAAAATATTTGCAAAAAAGTTCAAAAGTTACAGAAGCACTCAAAGACAAACTAAAAATTGGTTGTGCGTTGTTTCTTAGTGAAGCGTGAGTTTTCGATAGAACAAAAAAAATTAATAAGTTGAGTAAAGTATTTTCTCAAATTAAATTTGAAAAAATGCTAGCTGGGTAATCACCCAATGCACTTGCACGGCTAGTCCTCGGCTGGGTACACAAACAAAATTGATTTGTCCGTAATTGCTTTATTTAAATCCAAATACAATATAGACAAAAATTTACAAGCACTTATTTGATTTATATCCACTATTCACTTTTGTTCACTGGGTTATTTTCCAACTATTTCGATTTCACCACTATACTCTTTGGTTGGTTGGGATGGCTGCCGGCCTGTGCTGATTTGCCTGTGCTGCTCTCAATTTGCTGCTATGCCCGTGCTGCTTGGCTTTGCTGCTCTCCTAAGCTGTTTGGCTTTCTTGCCGTCGCTCACTTCACTTTTCTTTGTATTCTTTTTTTTTTTTTTKTTTGCACTCGCGAAACTGCAGCTGCGTTATTGCTGCTTGCCTTTATTGCTATTCGAGCAATATGGAAAGGCAGAGTTGAGCAACTAGACTCAAATTAACCACAACAAAATACAAAAACCGAGAGAGATTGTTGACGCTCCAGACGATTGTGTGCGTCCAAGAAATTTATAATGTTATTCGGATAACAGTGTGTTTTTGTTGTTTTTTTATATGCAAAGTGAAATAATCAGTGCATTTGTCAGGTGTATTTATTGTTGTACTTAAATGAAGTACAATACTACTTGCAGACTTGTGCGTTGATTTTGTGGGTGGAGTGCCAGAAATAAGTTTTGGTCTCCACTTCACACAGCACAATAGGTTTTGTACATATTAACTCATGCACAAATTAACCAATCTATTGCCTTATATCTTGCAGAGCACAAATCCAAAATATGTTTGGTTGTAACTTGCGAGTTGCTAAATCAGGTAAATTATCCATTTTCACTTTAATTAAAATCAACCTGTTATCCAGCTGGAAGGACCAATGATAATTCGGCTGGTGGAGCACGGTGCTCGCTCGTTCCGTAGTTGTGGTTGGCCGTGGGGGAACGATCGGCGCAAATGATTCCACAAACGTTAAATAAAAAACAAAAGGATTCTTATAATAAATATATTTTACAAATAATAAATTGGACAAACACTTACCACGTCTGGATCGGTGAGCGGTCGCAAAAGAGAAAGCGCGCAACTTTTTTATTTATTTTTTAGTTGCGCGCGAATTAAAACTTCGAAAAAAGTTCGAAAAAGAGGAAAAGAAAATATTGTTCCGCCGATACAGACGTGGCAAAAGAAATTGGGCGAGGGCGGCGTCAACAAGAGGAATACCTCCATTTAGACCACATGGAGGAATTCAGCCCCGCTAAAAAATTATAAAAAATAAATACTTTTCATTTTACCTGCCACATCATGCAGTATTAAAGCTAGAAAAAAAACCACTAAGGTAAGAGTTGTCTTCAATGCATCAAAATCTTCAAGTTCGGGGAATTCCCTAAATGGCATTTTATTAACCGGACCCACGCTTCAGCCAGATTTAATGCTGCTCATATTAAACTGGCATATACACAAATACATTTCCAATGGGGATGTCGAAAAAATTTAACGACAAATAGTCGTACATAAAGATGATCAAGATTTTCAGCGATTTATTTTCTGGAAACCTCCCAGTAGTCCACTATGCGACTTTAAATTAAAAACAGTTACCTTTGGCGTAAACTGTGCCCCATACCTAGCCATTCGTACGCTCCACGAACTGGCAGAAGACACAAAGTAAGTTTCCTCTGGAAATACAAGTGTTGAAGACACAAACTTATGTGGACGACATTTTGTCTAGAAGCCACAGTCTTCCAGAGGCATATGAGTCACTAGCACTAAAAGTGACAAAAGCGCTCATTACAGCAGGGTTTCCGTCGAAAAAGAGAAGGGCAAACCACCCTAATATTTTAAAGGGCATACCTAAAGAAAATCTATTAGACCCAACTTTTCTTAAATTCGAAAAGGACTGTATAACAAAAACTCTGGGGATTCAATGGAATTCGATATCTGACCAATTTTCATACACTATCGAGTCAATATCTGCATTATCCGCCATTACAAAACGCCAATTTCCATCTTCTGTGGCAAAACTTTTCGACTCCGCAGGATGATTTTCGCCAATTATGATACAAGCTAAAATCCTGATACAAGAAATATGGCTAGAGTGACCGACTGGGACAAACAAGTAAAACCACTTGGTACAAATCCCACGGTGGGTAAACTATAAACTCCCGAACACAAAGTCGAATTACACGGCTTCTGTGACGACTCTGAGAAATCATACTGTGCCATTATCTATGTGCGCACACAATCGACAACGCAACCACAAGCCACTTATTAGTAGCAAACGCTAAGTCTACCTCGACTTGAGCTCTGTGGGGTCCTATTACTCGAGAAAATTAGTTTCCATGGTGAAGACCCACTTAGACATGAAGAAATACATATTGCATCTCTGGTCCGATTCTGAAATAGTTCTAGCCTGGTTGGAAAAACCATCACACGCATGGAGGACGTACATATCTAATTGTGCGTCACAAGTACTAGACCTAATGGGATCTGCCACTTGGCGACACGTAGGCAGTGCGGACAATCCTGCCGATTTAGTCACAAGAGGGTGCAAGTCGCTGCACCTTGCCACCACCACCCTCTGGTGGAACGGCCCCCCAATGGTTAACAGAATCTCCCGAGCTTGGCCAAAATCGTCCATGCGCAATATAATTGCCCCAGAAAGTCGAAAAATCTACTGCTTTCACGCAACATTGGATGACAGTGACATCCTTGAGCGATTTTCATTGTTCCCTCGTGCCCTTCGAGTTGTCGCCTATATGTTAAAGTTCATAGACCACTGCAGCTTGCCACATTACACCTCAGTTATATCCGCCAAGAGTTCTATATTCCCCGTCTTAAGATCCAAATGCATTTTCATGTGCAGGATCTGCACTATGCACAAGCAGAAGTTGCGAACACAGATTATGGCAGCACTTCCTCCGGAACGCTGCAACTTCGCTCCGCCTTTCACCATTATAGGTGTCGATTTTGCTTCCCATCAAAAATAATGAGCGATAATGGTAAAACCTTCATTGGAGCCCAAATAAGCACTGAAAAAGATTTTATCAAGCAAGTCTCGCCAGAGATTGTACAAAGGTATGCTCCCCAAGGTATTAATTGGCAATTTATCCCCCCAGGGGCCCCTCATATGGTTGGTTTATGGGAATCACTGTAAAAAGCTTTAAGTCCCACCTCAGAAATGTAGCTGGAAACTACAAATTTAATTATGAAGTGTGGTGAACTGCACACTATTAGTGCGAATTGAAGCCGTTCTCAATTCACCGCCACTCACAACCCTGTCGCATGATCCCAGGACAATTTCTCAAAGGAGCACCCATTCTGGCCTCGCCTGAGTCTGGCGTGGAGTCGCTATCCTTATTAAATCGATGGGAAAAAATCAAAATCCTCCATCACAATGTCCCCTGTGTCGGCGCTTTTATCGGCTACAGCATTGCAGCATTTTCCGTGGAATGAAGTCCTTACAATGCCAGACTGTTGCTTAGGCTCGCGGACACTGCTTGAATTGTTTGGCGACGGCACACAACACGCAGGAGTGTACGCCGGTCACCCTCTGCCACCTGTGTAACCGGCCACTCCACACTATGCTGCATCGCACCCCAAAAGGGCCGCCATGCGCCAACTCTCCGCGGGCAGATCGAAGCAGACCAGCCGTCCGGGTGGGCAAAGGGGCTAATAGCCCCTCATCCAACCATATGCGAAATGAGGCATCATCACGGCTTAAACAGCTTCGGACGTCATACCAGCGCTCCACTGGCCTCAGTAGTGTTGTTGCCACGCTGCAGCAACTACAGCGACTGCCACTTGAATTAATTTTATTAAAACCATTTGAATTTATTTTGTAAAACCCACTTGAATTTTTTTGTAAAAACCACTTGGACTTATCTTAGTAAAATAAACTATTTGAATCTCTTTTGTAAAAAACACGTTGTTGTCAGCACTCGCTTCACTGCTACGGACCGCCGGAGAAATGTTGTCGCAACGAACGGGAATCGAAAAAAAGGGCCGTTGCTCGTTACTGCTAATCCTTTTAAGGGCTGCTGAGTGGTGAATACGCTGTATAACAGAATAACTGTATGATGTATTCGTGTGTGGTGTCTTCATGTGTGGATCGACTTGGTGTGGTGCGTTATTGTCCAAGGATGTGTGTTGAGGGGGGACTGCTAACTCATCTAGCCACCTACCATCATAGAAGCCTCTGCGGAGCGGGCAAGTTCATCACCACCTATCGTGTCTTGAAACTAATTTATCATGCCTTATATTTTCAGTATTTACGTAAAAGCTTTTGCATATTACAAATGCTTCCGTGGCTTTAACGGGTGCAGTCCAGTATGAAACCGAAGTATTTGATTTCATTAGTCATGGCTAATTCCCTGGTGCTAAGAGTTATAGCCCTTAAGCCCGACAGGACATTCTTCTGGTGAAAAGGACGATGCACGTTTCGAACAAGTTTTTAACTCGACTTAATTTGCAGAATCTCTTTGACAGACCTAAGACCTTTTAAACAATCTTGCAAATGTTTTCTAATTTATATCTTGTTAATATAATATGATCATACGCATAACTCTGACATCAAATTTCATTGTAATTTAGCAGCTCAAAGAACTTTTCCATGACGAGGCTCCATAGAAGAAGCACTATGTACTATATATTGCTTTCGTACAGGGTCCGGCACTCGAAGTGTAACAAATTAAAAAAAAACAATAAATTCGGTTTGGGAAATTATTTTTATTTATTTTAAAGTGCAAAATGTGTGAAAATAATTTATGACCACTTTTTGCCTTAATTATAGCCGTAAGACGGTCAAATAACGAATCGCAAGCTGTAGGAATGTGACTTGCCGGTATTTTGGACCACTCACGGACAATGGCTTTTTCAGCATCACGAGGCTGGTGTATTTTTTACTTCGGACCTTGCTCTCCAAAATGGCTTAGAGAGAATAATCCTTTGGATTCGCATCTGGTGAATTCGAGAGCCATTGTGTGGTCGTAATGAATTTCGGAATTTTGTTTTTCAGTCATTCTTGGTTCACTCGTGCTTTGTGAGACGGTGCAGAGTGTCGTTGAAACGTCCATGGTTTGCGAATGAAAAGTTTGTTTGCCCACGGCTTCAAAGGAACTTTCCCAATAATATGTCGCATTTACTTTGACACCAGGCTCGATGAAAACAATTGGAGAGGTCTGCGGTAACAGCGACCCAAACCATTATTTATGGCGGGTGCTGCCTCCTGGTGGCCAACCGATGACTTAGTTTCTCGTATGATCGATCGGTCAAGTAAACCCTTTTTCGTTTTGAGAGTTCATTAATTGGTCAATTGGAAAAATTTTTTCGTTAGATACACAATGTTCGGAATTTGACCGCTTTCGGCCAAGCGAAGCAACTGCTTCGCTCTCTCAAGGTTTAGTTGTTGCTGCTTCGGTGTTAGATCATGGGTCGTTTGGAACTTATAAGGCTTGACCTTGAGCTCATTTTTCAATATGCGTCAGATGCTGCGGTCGGATATTTTCAGTTCTTTATCCATTTGATTGGCACTTCGTCGTGGATTTCGCTCAAGTCGCTTCTTCACTTTCCGAACCATCACACGTAACGATGCAGTCTTTTGATGACCACCACACATTTTTGATTCATTGTTATTGTGAACTTATACTAAAAATTGTTTTTCACTTTTTTGTTTTATGGGCTGTAAAATGTTGTTTTTTTTTAGTTTTTAAACTATACCATACTATACAAATCTCTTATTAGTTAAAATATTATTGTAATTTTTACTCTGAATCTTTCGGTGACTAATTGTTATATTATTTGCGACCAAGTTCTATTGACGACTTTACGAATTCTTACCCCTTAATTGAATCATTTCTTCTAAGGCTTCACTGTTACATGGGGTTTTACCAGTATAATTGGCAACATATGTACGTCTTTCAGCAATTCCATAGCTGTATTTTGCTGGAAATTGTATTGAATGAATTATGTGTTACGTACGAAAATTAGATCAGATAATTTCTGTAACGAAGCCCGTGTCACCATTCACTAAACCTTTTGACACGCCAAAGTTCGACGTTCACATCACTTTTGCTCCAACGAACATTTTCAATATATTAGGAAGATTTTCTGTTTTATTGATATCAGCAAGGATTGTACTATAGTATTTGAGTCCTTACTACCGAAATTTCGTGTAACATCAATGAAATGGTCTTGTGCTTTAATCCTATAAATAACAGTGCCTTATCTTAAAAACTCTGGAGAACTTTTTGATTATGAATAACAATCGTTCAATCCAGAATTCTTCAGTGGTATCTTTTTGAAAATCTAGACACATATGTTTCGCTTATAATTTTAAATTAATGCAACCTTACATTTTGACTGTTTTGGTTATTTGATTGTATACCTAAAATGTTCCTGATATAAAAAAGTAAGTAAGTGACTAGTGGTTCACCTGGAAAGTAGGTATGCATTTTTTTTATGTGATTTACCAATATTGTGAAATATAAACGAATATAAATAACAGTTAAGTCGTACTCACCGCTATTAGATTCGGTAACAATTGCTCACTTCACAATCACACATTAGATTTTGGCTGCAATTGCTCACATCAACGTGACATCGGATGTTTAGAACAAAAAGAAGAGTTTTGATGGTAAGCATCTGAATTTTTACTACAAAAGTAATATTATAAGCATAGCTTTGCAATTCCAAAACTAAATTTTATTACCTGAAAGTAAAGCTCTAGTTATGCATGCTTGACTCAACTCAGCTTCGAAAAAGGTAACTTGTGAAACGTAACTGCAATTATACTAAACACAGCGCGTAGAAATCAGCTGTTTTTGAATGTTGAGAGAGCACACAAATGTGACATTTTACTTGATATGTGAAGCTTGTGAAAATTAATCAATATTAAAACAAATTGTTTTGCTGAATATATTAACTTTAATAATGAATTGTGATTTATTCCATGAACTATTATATTTAATATTCCTCGCCTTCAAAGAAGAAAAGTATTAAGAAGACGTAAACGCCGCTGGTCCGTTCATCCAGCAAATCCTGATAGAAACCCAAATGGTTTCTTCTGGAAGAACTTTTTAAAATTAAAAGAAGACGACCAAAAACTATTTGCTTTAACACGGCTGAATCGGCCAGTATACAACCTTCTCTTAAATATTATTAGTCCGTTTTTAAAAAAACCAAAACAACAAATTGGCGTCGAGGAGCGAGTGATTATAACTTTAATGTAAGTAAAACAATCCTTGAAGTTCATATATTCATTTAATTGTATTCTCATTAGGTACCTCGCTTATGGAACACCTTTTGAGATCATAGCCTCGATGCATAAATTAGGGAAAACAACAATGTGGAAAATCGTACTTGAAACGTGTGAAATATTTTGGTTACACCTGTGCCCGATATACCTTAGCGAGCCAACTACCGCACAATATAAAGGCAGATTTTTTAAAACTGTGGAATATACCCAACTGTGTCGGAGCAAGTGACGGGAAGCATATAGCTATTATTCGTCCACAAAATTCAGGCTCGTTATTTTATAACTATAAAAGGTTTTATAGTATAGTTTTAATGGCATCCTGCGACGCTAGGTATACGTTCACCTCTGCCAGCATTGGTAGCTATGGCGGACAAAGTGACGGAGGTATTTTAAAAGATTTGCAATATTTCRATATTTACTTATTTTTATTTTATTTCAAGGTGTCTTTCAGCAAACTAAAWTTGGTCAAGCACTCTTGGAAAACAAATTGCCACTACCACCAAGAGCTCCATTATGGAATGAATCCTCAACAGATTTTCCACATTTTTTTGTGGCCSACGCAGCGTTCCCATTGAAGGAAAACTTAATGCTACTTTACCCCGGTGCACAGCTGCCACGAAACAAAGCAATTTTCAATTACCGGTTATCCCGAGCTCGTAGAGTAATCGAAAATAGCTTYGGTATTTTAACTGCTCGATGGCGTGTTCTACGAAAGGTAATAGACTTTAGCCCAAAGAACTGCGAAACAATTGTGTTAACCTGCTTGGTTCTTCACAATTTTGTAATGTTGAATGACCATGATCGTTAGTATTGTCCAGATACATTTGTAGACACAGATACCGCAGACCATGGAATATTGGTGGGAGAACTCTTCTTCACACCGAGAGTTAGAGAGTGTTGGAATTGCATTACATTCAATAAGTACAGCTCGACGCAATGCATCTAGTTTCGCATTCCGTGTAAGGGATTTTTTGGCAGATTATTTTATAAATCAGGGAGCGGTTTCATTTCAAGAAGATCGTATTTAGTGTATAGCAATGTTTGTGTATTTTATGCATTTGAAATATACATGTACATATCTTTATGTATAAAATTGTAATCTAAGTACCTTTATACTATGCTTTTTGTTACGTTAACTTTTTTGTGATATTTTATTAAACAATGGATATATCTATAAATATTGTTTTATTTACTGAWAAAGRTGGTAATTATCTGTATTAGGAAGATTACACAGGCATATGGCAAATGAATTCTGTAAAGTAATGCTTCTAACGAAAACATATATATTTTATTTACCGACAATAAATCATGATTATGACGGTATGTAATTAGTAAATAAGGCATAGRCCGTATAATCACAAGTACATACTTTAGGCAAAACAGGATAAGTTTTCCCTATCAAAACGCTATCATTCTTTAAAAATATTTGGTGAATGTTTTTTGCAACTACACAATGACAACAACCTTCAAATCATTAATCACTACCAACATAACCACATAGCACACAATAAATGAAAGACAAAATTAAAGAGTTACAAAAACAAATTATTTTATTTTTTCAAAAACATTCTTAAAACCCTTTTGAACATTCTTAAAACTATTTTAAAAAAAATTAATGTTTTAAAAATTTTAAAACTTTTTTTGAAAAATGAGATACATTGTTGTTTCTTATGTCTAGGTAACAAGCCTTTTAAACATTTTAAAACTATTTTTGAAAAATGAGGTACATTGTTGTTTCTTATGTCTAGGTAACAAGCGTTTTAAACATTTTTACATATTAATTCAATATATGTATAAAACAACAAACAAATGATTTAAAAATAAAAAAAAACTATTCGGGTTCCGATTTAATAGCAAATAACGAATTTGTTAAAACTTGTATTGTTTTCATTTGCTTTA